GGTGCTCTGGGGGAAAAAAACCCTTTTCTAAACTTGTGAAATAATTTCAAAATAATGAATTTTCTGAAGACTCTTGAGAAATGGCTAGGCCTTCAACACTTAAACACCTGGAGCTCTTGGGTGTTGGTAGTTGCTGGCAAGTGGCAGTGGCTTTTGGGAGAGGTGGAAGTGGCAGGATGGTGGGTGGGCTCCAGCATGCCCCCTGGAAGCTTGCTTCACCCCAAGGGCGAAGTCCCACCAGAGAGGCTTCTGGTTCTCGGTTGTGCCCCTTGACCCAGGCAGAGCTGCTGTTTCCTTGCCAAAGCTCAGACCTTCGCCCTGCCCTGGGTGTGTTGGGGCAATGGTGAACAGAAGACCTCCCCACATGGGTCTTAGCTTGTGTTGGGTGCCTGAGGCTGCCCTTGGCTGATAAATAAAATAAAGGGCTACAAATAAAAATGCACAAATCTTTCTATAGCATTCAGGAAGACAGGCTGGATGGGCTGAAGGCCAAGGGGTTTTATTGGAGGTAGTTGTGAGCCATGAGAGCTGAAGGAGAGGGTTTCCCTGAGCTGCTTGTTGCTTGAGAAATGACCCTTGAACAGGAGTGGCACCCGAAGATGACATCAATCCAGCAACATGTGCTAAAATGGGCTACGGAAACAAATTCCATAGGGTTTGGTTCTCATGTTGCAAACTTTCCGGTGGGTTTTTGGTGGGAGTGACTGTTGTTGGAGGCTGGAGCTGTAGGAACATGTGGTGCAAAGACAAGGTGATGCCTTCAGTTCTGGTCTGAGCTGCTGGGTGCTTAATGAGCCCTGCTCTCCCCTGGCAGGTGTTCATCTAACAAGCATTGTTGCTCCTGGAAGCTGCAACTAAGAGCTATCTCCGCTAATAAGTCATTAATGCTTACTTCATTAAGTCCACCAAGAGTCTGAGAAGATGACCCTTGGAAACACGTTGATGGGAGATTAACATATTCATAAATGAGAAAAATAAAATAAATAAATAAAATCAGAGAGGCCAGAGGGGGTCTGGAAATGGTGATGAAAGCAGCTTGCTGGCTCTCCAGTGAGAGAGCAAGGCGGGAGACCTGGAGAGGGATCACGTCATCGGCAGCGCTGCTGCCAAGCGCTGCCCCTGCCTGAAAGGCTGGGGAATGGGATGTTCTGCGCAGAGCTATGTGAGCTATTTTTTCTATATAAATAAAATATCTCTGAGATTAAATTGGGCCAAAGGGGAGGGAGGTGGGGAGCCTTTGGAAAAAATGGGGGTTTGCGATTTTTGTAAATAAAGCAGGCTTGTGGCAGAGAGGCTTTTCTCAACTCTTTTTTTTAAAAAAAAAGAGAAGGAAAAAAATGAAGTTTTTATTTTTATGTTGTGTCTTCACTAGTTTGGTTTTTTTTTTTTCTCCTTCTTCCCTGCCTTAGTAGTGTGGGAGGACAGAAATCCCTGGGTAAGCCGGAGGGTCTGAGGTGGGAAGGTGAGAGGGGTATTTGCAGCCATCACCTTGAACACTGGCATCCTCCCTTTGAGGGCATCGTCCCGCATACTAAAGTGCTTTTTCCACTTGGCAAGTGCATCTGTTATTTTTTTAGGCTGTCTTGTGCCTTGGCCCATGCTGGCACACAGTGCTGTAGACCTAAACACATCATCCGCATCGCAGGGTGGATACATTATGAATAAATGAAATATCAAGTCTGGTGTAGCTGTGGTGCGGTCACCCAGGAAAGCTCTGTGGTGTGCTCTCAGCACCGGCTCCCTCTGCCCTGTATCAGAGCTGCCTTCACAGCATCCTGCCCCCAACAGACCCGATCTCCTGGTATCCCTGAAGCCCCCAAACCCAGCAGGCAGCTGACTTCTCCTGCGTGTTTTGGGCAGGCAGGCTGTGACAAGGCTGGCTGAGTTCAGTGGAGCGACTGGCGTGCCTTGCAGAGGCTTAGGGAGAGCTCTGGGCTCTACACGGGGTGAGCTGAAATAACACCCAGCTCTGTATTCTATGCAAGACAATGTATTTAACATCCCTGCAGAGGGCACCCCGATGAGGGTCTCCACTTTGGGGGGGGGGTGTGCCTTCCCTTCTGCAGGCCGGAGGCTCGGGTGATGGGCTGGGAGGCTTGAGCCATGTCAGGAGGTGGGATGTCCATCCTTTCTTCTTTCACCTTACGTGTCAGGCGAGTGCTGTGGGGCAGAGGCTTTGCCTTGCTGCTTATACCACACTAGGGATCAAAGAAAAGGCACTGGGGATGGCTTCTGGTCTCAGGCTCTTGCGGGAAGCGAGGCATCTCTTTTCACGCCAAAATTCCCCAAAATACATATAGCCTTTTCCTTGTGCATAGGCAGGAGAGATTAATTCATTTTAAGCATCCAAGTGTAGTGTTGAGCAGGGAAGCAGACCTCACGTGCCAGACTTGTGGACCCTCAGCTCAGTGGTTCTAGGGACGCGACTGCGTCTCCAGTTTTCCCTGCTGATGCAGAGATAAGGTGTGAATTTGCGTATGAAATTAGCCCACGCTGATGAGATCTGGTTTAATTTCTTGGCCAAGCCTTTCCCCCCTCCAAACTCAGAGTGTCCTACAGAAGATGATACCTGATTTCTGTTCTCCTTTGTGAAAAAGGAATTTGTTTCCCTGGGGCTTATAGTTAAGTGAAGGTGATGGCTTTTCCACTCCCTTTACTCACTCAGTTATTTTAGCAGCAGCATTTGAGCAGAGTGAGTGATTTTTTTTTTTTTTTTTCTAATTTTTTGGGGTGGTGGGTGTTTTTTTTATTGCCTGCTCTTTGCTGTTGCTGGACAGTGTTGAGCTGTAGCTCAGAAGGGGTCTTAAAGCCAAGCAAAACAGACGGAGTCCCCAGTGGCAAACTTCTTGCTGGCAGGGGCAAGGGAGAGCCTTTTCTGTGTGGTTTAGGGAGAGTGAGTGCAGCATCACACCATCCAATTTATTTCAAGAGAGGAAGGGTGGGGTGGTTGGTTTTTTGTTTTGTTTTGGTGTTTGTTTTTTTTTTTTTTTTAACTTAGTTTGTGTCTTTTCTTAGCCAAGGTGGCCTCATATGCTGCTGCTTGGGTCCCGAAAAGGTGAAAGGGAGTTTTGCTCATCCTGAGCATCCTCAGATCCTGCACTGCCAATGGTGTTTCCTGCCTTGGCATCTCATTCCATTCTCTTCCCCTGCCTCCCTAAACACATCCCATTTCTCTGGAGCCTGGTGGGAAGAGCTAGTGCCTGGAAGGGTGCTGTTCCCGGGAAGAGGGTGAGTGGGATTCAGAGCAGTCCTACTATCAATCTCGCCCCATCTATGCCCCCAGCCCCAAGAGTTTCCTGGGCTGGCTGTAGTTTGAAGGTGCAGTGACCATTTATTGCTTTATTCTCCATTTCTACCCCATTTGAGCTAAAAAGAGGGTGAGGGATAGCTCAGTATCCACATCTTAGCAGGTAGGCTCAGCTCTGGCAAATCCCACAGTGAAGTCTAGGTGTTGAGCTGGGCTTCAGCCACCTGACCAATGCTGATATAAAAAGCGAGGTGAGAGGATGGGCCACTGGAGAGGCTAGAAAAGGTTGGGAAGGAAAAAGGAAAATGCGTAATGACTGCATTTCTTTCTGGGAAGTGGAGCTGGAAGAGATGCTCTCATTTCTCCTGACCTTTTCAGGTGGCTGTTATGGTGCCGGCTGCATTTATTACTCCTGCTTGATGAAAACCAAGAGATGATGCATCTGTTGCGGGAAGCAATCATGCAAACACGCGGAGCTTTGATGTTCCCGGGGACGCTCTGCTGAGCGGCTGGGGCGAACAGCAGAGCCTGTTTCCCAGCCTGCGCCGCCGCCGCCCATTAACCCGAAGCAAACCAACGCTTGTGTTTCGGGTGAGATGGCAGCTCGAGCCCCTCCTGCCTCATCTGTTTGCGTCCCGTATGGGACAACGGCTGCTTCTTGGCTGCCCTCCCTCCACCAGAAAATGCCCTGCTAATTCAGGGCTTTAGCTCTGGCAAAGAGGTGTTTAGAAGATATGCTGATGAACCTCCTGCCCTCCCCATGCAAGAAAGCATTTGGTATTTAAAAGCATGGGCATAAACCACTGCAAACTGGCACATCTCTACCTGCACAGAGGTGCTGCTGCCTTCCCCAAAACCCCTCCAGGAACTCGGCCATGCTGCCATCTTGCCAAGGGGCTGATCTACAACCTCGAGGGTGATGGTGACTAACTCTGGGGCCTGCTGGGATGCCCAAACTTTAGCAGTGTCATTTAGTGCTGCTTTATTTATCAAGGCCTTGCAGGCTGAGGTCTTATGTCTCACTGCCAGGAGATTTAGCCAGAGGCAGAAGTGGCCAAGCAAGGGGAAGTGGACTGGGTGAGCATCCCCTCCCCAAACCAGCGCTGCCATCAGCCGTCCTCCCACACCCCCTCCCAACTTCATGAACTAGTAGGTGAACCCATAAATTTGGGATTAAAAAACACCTCACAGTATTTTAGCAGCCAAGTTTTTCAAGGATTAAAAGTAAAGCCGTGGAGCAAGCAGCCACGCGTGTGAAATGGGGCACCTCTCAGCCCAGGAGTGTGGGTGGTCAGTGCACCTTCCTGTGGGCTCCCAGGCTGTGTTTGGATGGAAGAAAACACAATTAAATGGGGGGAGGGGGGGGGGGGGGAGGGAAAAAAAAAAAAAAAAGAAGTTACAAGCTTCTGAATAAAAGCACCTGCAGGAAAAGAAAGGGAGCTGTGATGGAGCAGCCCTGAAACTGCTCATGCTCCCTGGCAAGGTGAAAGATTTCACAGCAGGGAGCTGCAGAAAGGTGGTTTCAGAGGAAGGGGCACGTGAGAGCACAGGAGCCTCCCGCGCACTGCTGGCTCTGGCTCAGAAGCCCCTGAGTCCCCGCCGCCAAGCTGTGGGGCCGCAGCATTTCAAAGGATGCCATGGCTCTGGCTGAACCTCTATCCGCTCCCTTTACCTCCCCCCATCCCTTCCCACTGGAGAATCTGGGCTCCCTTGTCTACAAACCAAGTAGCCAACATGCCCCCAGAACCCAGAGTTTCCTACGCAAAGGCCAGAATTCATGTTTATTGTGGGCGCCACGTGCCCACCCTCCAGTTGCCTGTCGTTTGCTGGACCCGCCATAATTCTGCCTGCAGCACTGGCTCGGTGCCCGGGCGTCTCCTCGACAGCGGATGCTCTGCTGCAGAAGCGCTTATAAATTAAGGATTTTTTTTTTTTTCTTTTTTTTTTTTTTCCTTGTCCCTGCTAGGAGTCATCATAGAGAGGGTTGTTGTAGTTGCCCCAGGAGCCGTACTCGTGGTCATCCAAAAGTCTGCCGTAGGAGGAGTGCCTGCCAGGGAAAAGCAAACCACCTGGGTGTTACCAGTCGCTTTGGTACTTTATTAGTTATTTTACCATGGGGCAAAAAAAAAAAAAAAAAAGCATACAAGTCCTCACTAGGTCTAGCTTTGAGATATTTTAGCAGGAAGCACCAGTACATAAGCCCAGGCAGGCTTTCGCTTCCATTGAACCAGATTGGGACATGCCAGGGAATTAAAACAAGACCTTTGCTCATCTCGGTTGTCAGCAAAGACTCATTACAGATGCTCAGTGCTGGGCTGTGCTGCTGTTTATTGTCTAAGTCACAGCAAGACCCGTGGCAGCAGCTTACCCTAGGGATAATTACTGGTTATGACTATGCTGAACAGCGTCTCCGGCATTTAAGCAAGGCTGTTGTAAAACAGGGAAGAACAACTCTGTTTTTCAGGATAGATGTGGCAGAATATGCAGCCGTGCTGTGACTAGAGCCCACCCATCACCCCACCAGGCTTGGGGACAGCATCTCCCCAGAGCATCACCGCTGTGATGGAGAGAGGAGCTTCAGATCTCAGAGGGACCACAGCTTGAGCACCCCACTGGGCAGGCACCCCGAAAACAGCCTTACCTGATCTTGAGGTACGCTGCTGCCCCGAAAACCAGCACCACCACCACGATGACGGTCACAGGTTATGGCCACGATGCTCCCTGCAGAGGGAGCATCAGAAGTGTCATTCCAGCCCCCTGACACCCAGCCCACACCCAATACGCCCATGCTAGCTGTCTCTAATGAGGCGGGGGGGGAAATATTCCCTCACTGCCTCCCAAAGCTCCTATGGAAGGTGCTGGGCACCCCTGTATTTTTGCAATGACCCCCTTCCCATGAGGGCAGGGCAGGTGGATTCAGGATAAAACACAGCTGGGCTTTGCTTGAGAACTATGGACCCGCTCCCTGATGCTCCTCCCAGTACCAGGCAGCTTTTGGTGCTGAGCCAAGGCTAGAAAATGCTCCAGATCCCTCACTTCTCTGGCCTTGTGAAGCACTTTTAATCTGAGCTTGCAGAAGAGGACAGGTGAAAGCTAGTGTCAGCTTAATGAGGTCTCCAGGAGGGAGAAGAAAAACCTACATCTTAACTCAGGCTACACCCGCCATCCAGCCACTTGTTTCCTCTCACCCTGAAGTGTTTCTGGTCAAATTTGCAACTAAGGATTTTATTCACATCTCCAGGCAACTGAGGTTTGGTATCTACAACTCCTTGTCTCCACCAGTGGAGCAGATGACATAAGCTCTTCCAGGAAAGCTCAGCTTTTGCAGAATGGTACTCCCTGAAGGTTGACCGCCTCTTCCCTTCCTGTGTGGAGGAGTCTGCCCCTCTTATCTAAGCACCTTGAGGTTGACATTATACCTCTAAGTGCATAGGGAGAGCGGTGGTGCTCACCTGCACTCAAGGCACGTGGGACCTCTTCCATGGTGACTCCAGTGGAGAGGGTGGTTTTGCTGGTGGCTGTGGCCTCGGCTTCGGTGGGGCTTGTCACAGTCGCTGGAGGGGATGTTGGCTCCATGGCCAGGCTTGATGCCATGGCCAGCGTCCCCAAGGAAGGGATGTCCTTGGTCAGCGCTGGTGGCTGGGTGGTGCCAGGGCTCATGAGGACAGGCGTTGGGGACGAGAGCATCCCAGGGGATGAGTACAGGTCACTGGTAGGGACGGAGGAGGAGGATGCAGGTGTGCCCGTGGGGCTGGGAGCTGCCCCCAAATCCATCCTGCCTCTTGTGAAGCTGGCAGTATTTGCTGTCCAAAGACCTGGGGCTGTCTCCAAGGTTGGTGGCACCGAGCTGGGGTTGGTGGCTACGGATGGGCTGCCTGCTCTGGTGATGGTGGCCACGGCGATGGAGCTCACAGTGACGGAGGCAGGAGCAGGGGACAGTGCCGCCGTGGGGGTGGCGTTGTGGCCATCCCCCTTCATCAGCCTGGGGGACGCCCTGTCTCCAGCAGGTCCTGTGGACACAGGCAGCGAGGGCTGGCCAGGAGCTGGCGTGGGGACAGCGGCATCCCTGGAGCCTGGCCCTGCTGGGATCCCCTCCGAGGGGAAGGGAGGGCTGGCAGGGGTGAGGGACACTGCTCCTGGAGTCATCGCCCAGTCCTGGGAGTGAGACAAACAAGTATTAATAACGGGGAAATCCTTGCAGCAACCTGGGGTTTGGGAATGAAGCTGAAAGTAAGTTTATTGGTTTGGTAAATGTTGAGAGCCATCTAAAATAAAGAGATGGGAAATAGTCCTGCATAGCTAGCGGTGAGGTTTAAACCAGACCAGTTGCCCTGGCATAGTTCAGCACCGTTTTTCCCCAAAGTTGGGATCCCTTGCATCTTCCCAGCATCTCCTCCCAGCAGCCAGCAAAGCAGCAGGGGAGCAAGCTCCTCCTCAGCAGCAACCACCACACAGCTGGGAACGATGACACAACATGCCTCTTTCTCCTCTCCCCACATTTCCTTGTGCATTCATTCATCTCCATTTCTTAGCCTGAAGATGAGTCATTTTTTCCTCTATCCCCACCATCAGACTGCTGGGGCATCCCCCACACACACACACTTTTCTACTCTCCAGGGCTGAACTCAGCCCTGGGCCAGCACTAGCAGCTAAGTCCCTCAGCACAGTTGGGCTGAGGGAAGAGCATGCCAACACTAAGAGACATCAGGAGGGATTTTTATTCCCATACGTTAATTTATACCCCCAGAGCATCCCAAGCCCTGCACTGGGAAGAGCAAGAACTTGCTCCAGTGCAAACAAGCTGCAATGAACTAATTATTATGGGGGTGGGGGACACAAAACTCAAGGTGCTGATTTTGTGGCAACTCTGAAGCCAAGCTCCCACCTCAGCTCTAGAGGCAGGGGTTTGATGCTTATCTAAATGAGGAACAACAGCCACGAGAGCACAGATAACTATTATGGTAGCTCTCTGTGAGCAGGAGCTTGCAGATCATACATGGCTGGGCATCACTGTTGGGCACATAAGGCTCACCTCCCTATCACCAAGCCACCCCTCAAGGAGAGGGTGTCAACCACCACAGCCAAATCAGCTGTGTGTCGTCCGTCCCCCCCCCAAAGTCAATCTGAAATGCCACCCATGCAGGTGACACCCAAGGAAGGACCCAGCCCACACCAGAGATGTGTTTTAGATGGAACAGAGCTGCTGCTTGCCCACCGTGTGACTCTTCTTTCACATAAAGCTGCACCAAGAAACAGTGTCACAGGAAGGACCCAAATTTGGGAGCAGGGGCTGTGCAACACGGGGTTTCTGCTGAGCACCCAGGAGAGCTGCAAGGTACCCAGGGCACAGACAGCACCTATGTGTAGGAAAGGTGGAATGCAGCACTCGTGAGCAGGGACTCACTAAACCATGGTTTCAGGTGTTTTCAGCCATCAGCACAAACAGAAGGCTGCAGGTGTCTGATATGGCTTCACTCCACCGACACACCTGCAGCAGAGGAGGACAGCAGAAGGGACATCTCAGCTCAGGACCTCCAGCTCACTGCAGCAAGCACTGGGTACATAGCACACATTTCATGAAGGCTTGCGCTGCCTAGAAACTGCAAACATATGCTTGGCCAGGGATTTAAAGCCAGCTCTGGGGCATGGCTTCTACTAGAGCCCAGGGCATTTATGAACACAAGTCCCTGGCATATTTGACCCAAAGTTGTTTTCTTTTTTTGTGTTCCTGGCACTGTAGATGCCCCTATGATGGACTCCATCTCCCAAGCAGGAGAGTCTGGGAGGTGGGACTGAAGCCGTGGTTGCTCTTTTTCTAGGGACAGGCACTTGGAGATGCCTCTGAGCTTTCACCCTCCTCAGGATCTCCATCTGCTGAGGCACAGGCTGACAGCCCTTAGGATAAGGGAGGGGAGATGGATGACAAGCTGCACTCTGATCCAGCGCCCCTGGTTTCCACACCCAGCCCAACCACAGCTGCAGAGAAGACATCCCACCTCCTCCTTCCCAGCTTCCCAAAACATACCAGGCACCTGCAAGGCTTCTGCTGTCAACAGGGCACTCTTACCTCCTCATGCCAAGACCTCTACGTCTCAGTCTTCCTGCTTCGCACCTGGGAGTTACTGACGTGCGAGCTTGAGCTGCATTACTGCGATAATTTTGAGCTTAAAAGCCATTAGTTCAGACGAATGCACTGGTTTTCACAGCTCGGCTTCACCCACAGCATCTCACCAGGACAAAGCCTGCCCACAAATCTGGCTCCCTCCAACAGACCTGATGGGTCCCCACTCATCCCACCCCCTCCTCCTGCAGAGGCTGGTGGCTCCCTTGCTCATGTCAAGCTCTGCAACACCATAAAACCAAATATTCCCTGAGCCGCACCATCCTCTTGCATAGCTCTCCACACCAACGTGCCACAGTCAGCAAGTGCCAAGTCTCCTACAGCACAGGCAGGTCCCACACCAGTGTGGTGGGACCTGCAAAGCGCCTGCAGCAACGTCTGCCAGGGACCAACACCATTTGGGACATCACTTTCAGCAGCCAGAAACAAGCTGCAAGAATCTGCCTCTTCATGTTGATACTGAGGTTCAAGCAGTTGATTTGTGCCCTTTCTGCTTCTCCACCAAACCCACCCTTTTGCCCTTTTTTGGCCAGGTTGGAGCATCCCCATGTGGTCTTCCCAACACACTCACTTGGTGGCAGAGTACCGAGAAGGGAGGCTGTCAAAACAGCATCTCCTTTTTTAAAAGAAAAAAAGGTGTAAGTGCCATTTCTAGCAGGTACTGTTAGTCCACAGCCTCTCACATTGCAAGACCTGAAGGTGCTGTCAGCCATCCCAGGAAAGCACAGCCCACTAGTTTTCACCGCTGGATTCACGAGAAGCATTGAGAAACAGGGTCTTTCTCAAGGACTTAACACCATGCAGCCGTCCTGGGCATTGTGCAAGAGAAGGCTTGGTCTCTGCCAGAGAGCAGAGGGTCTGATTTGGAGCTGCATGGGTGGAAAGGCATATCAGCAATACAAGTTGATAACAGGCATGAGTGAAGAACCCAAGTACGCTGGCCCAGCGTACCCGCATCTGCACCTCTGACCTCAGATAAGGGGATTATTTCCACACACGCGTGCGCGCTACACCAACACCAAGCCAGCCTCCCCCACCAGCAGCGGTGCAAGGCATCATCACTGCAAGTGCTATTGCAACAGCAAAGCCCTCGACTTCTGCAGCGCTGCCTGAAGGTGCCCAGCTGACCTGGCACTGCACTGCCAAGAGTAGCTTGCAGCTCCGGCGTGCTCCAAGCAGAGCACTCACCGGCTGTTTTAAGTTGTCTGCACCAGAGATGGCTGAGCCAGAGCAGAAATCTGCTGCCCTGTGGTAGAGGAAAGCGCTGGCAGCGCCGACAAACCTGGACCGAGCATGCCTTGACCCTTGGCATTCTGCAGATCAGGGTTCAACATCTGCATTTATTTCCATAAAATAATCCTTTCTCCATCACACCTGGGCATTTCAGACATGGAACGTCTCCAACAGGTAACAGACGGCCTCTAGCATGACATGTTGCTGTTACATCGGGCACAGCTGGACTCTCCCTAGTGCTGGTGGCCCCTTGAAGGCGTGTTACCTCTCTAAATGTAGATGCTTCCAGTCTCTCTCAGACACAGGCAGCTTACCACCTCTCTGCAAAGCCACCCCAGCATCCCATGTCGCTCGCCTGTGCTTTGGGTCAGCAGAGTTCTCATGATCTGCTGGAACTTTGAAGGCAAACAAATAGGGACTTCTAAAAGCTGGCAATACAGCTAGCCGGGATGAGTCAGGAAGTTTCCGATAATATCTAAAGGGTATAAATTCAGAGGGTGAGCCAAAAGCGGACGCAGGAACAATCCTTGGCTGCTGGCTGAGCGCTCCCATCCAAGCGGGTCACAAGTCGCAGGGACATTTCCCAGGAGAGCAAGCTCAGCCGAAGGCAGCATGCTGCTCGGCTCAGCCCTGGTTTTCCCCCCTCTCCCCCTGCTCCTGCATGGTCACTGCCAGACAAGCTTTGGTTTCCAGATCAATAGTGCTGCATTAATCTCTGCTAGCAAACCCTGCCCTCTGCTATCCTCTTGTTTCCCCAAGCCATCACCTCCGCTGGGGACCCCGCAACTGCCCCGGGGTCCGGCTCGCACCCGCAGCACAAGCTGTGCCCCTCCGCACCGCAGGCAAAGCCCGGCTGGGCTCCCAGAGGTGATGCAGGCTGCTTCTGAACCAGGTTAGGCTGAAGGGACAAAAAGGACGTGGCTGAGGACATCCATGGACAGCCTGCCCTGCAGGTGGGTGCTGCCCGCTCCCGGGGAGCTGGGGGGCCCGAAGAGCGCCCGGCCTGTCTGCAAGCCCAGTTCTCTACCGACCTACCCGAAAAGGAAAAGAAAAGCCAAGGTGGGAGGTTTCCCACCTTGGCTTTTTCTTTCTCCAACACCTAGCCTGTAGGAGCTGCAGCTGTGAGCAGGAACGAGAGCAATGCACTGCAATAAGGGACAAAAACCCCCCCAAACCACTAGAAAACTTCTTTTAGGACTACAAGAGTTCAAAGGCTTAAAAAAAAAAAAAAAAAAAAAAGGTCAAACAGGGGTTGTCAGAGGGACTGAAGGATGTTAGCTATCAAAAGATGCCAAATGTAGCTCAGCCCTGAGGAATTTGCCCATCTAATTCACTGACAGCAGTTGACCACCCCACTGGAATCCAGCTCAGAGCAGAGGCAGGCAGGGGACTGCCAGAACAAGGTAACTGCCTAAGAAAACAGCAGTGTCCCAATTTGCAGCCCCACATGAGCTTTGAAAGATCCTTTTGCCAGGTTGTCTTCCCTAGAAGCATGGGAAACAGCAAAAAACCCACCCCAAACTCCTAGAATTCAAATATCTTGCCCGTAGGGAATATTGACCCTAATCAGCTGCCAACCCAAGGAATGAACCGTCCACTTGATGGATTATCTCCTTCTCTTTCCATGTTGTTCTGGCCACACAAAGGTGGAGGTTTCACCCTTGCAGAAGCTGAAACTCCTCCTCTTCTCTGCTTGGGAAACAGCAGCCTGACCTGGGCTGGCAGCCTCCCCAGCAATGCCTTTTTCAGGCACTCCAGAAGCAATCGCAGCAAGCTTTTGAATTGCTCCGCCAGCTGAAAC